ACGTGAATGATTTAAAATTACCATCACAAAAGAAAGAAAAAAGATCCAAAAACATAGTTTGAGCCAACATAAAGTAATAATCACACTCTTTTAGAACCAATTAACGCAACTCGATTAATGATCACGAGTTAGCCAAAAGTGGTCTAAGAACAAGATTCGACCTAACTCATCTTAAAAATCACAAGAGCAATAACAAATCACTCAACCACACCAACAATTATGAATATCAATCAACCGATATCAACACAACGAGTAGTTTAATTAAATCACCTACACTTAATAACAATTTAATCAATTCATACATAAGTAGCAGCTTTAATCAATTTACATAGCACAACAATTTAGTTAATTATAGACACATCAATATAAATTAAATTTAATATATATTAAAATAAAATGAAATAAAATAAAATGAAAGGTAAAATAAATTATTGTAAAAAAGTCGGATGGATTGAACTCGTTGAATTAAGGTCAACTTCAACTCTTTTCAACCCCGATGGAGACCGATATCCAATCAAATGAGGAGAAAAGATGGTTACTAGTGATCAAATCTAGTCGGACAATGTGGTAAGGTCGTTGGATCGAGCCAATCGGACGACGTGGGGCTGGATGGGGCTGCGTGGGTTTGGCAAGAATTGATTCTGGTTGGTTTGCCATAGATCGGGTGAAGGGGGTGCCGACTAATTGTTGGATTGATTGGAGAAGAAGTTGAATAGAGCTAGATCGAGCTGGCGAAGGGCTAACAAGGCTGGCTTGAACTACTGGAGGTACTAAATCGGACTATTTTTGACCGATGGACTCCCAAATTGATGGTGGAAGAACGGTTAGAGATCGTTGGATGTCGAGCGACAAGCCGATCGATTTTTGAAGGCCGATGGGGTATGATCCGAACAAGCGATAGGTCGGACCGAGGCTAGATTTGATCAAACGAAGGAGTGGGTTGGACCGAGGGTTGGAAGATTATTGGTTTGGTCTAACCGGCTAGAGGCTACTAATCGAAATTTAGGAGGCTTCGGTTTGGCTTAGCATGATTGAGGTGGTTGAATCATACGGTAGTGCTAATCGGATATGGAGGAGAGGTCGGTCGAAAAATTTTTTAGAGAGAGAGAGAAGTGGCCGAATTTTTAGAGAAAAAAAGGGTTTTTATACTATTTTTTTTAGGGTATTTTATTTCGATCATTTTCTCTTTTTTTCAATGACATCCCTCAATTATATTTTTTTCAATTCTTTTTCCTCTTTTTTTTTTTGGATTTTTTGAAAAACTTTTGGGTGCTAATAGTTGTCTCCTCTTTACAATGCTTATGACGATGAGCTATTGAAAAACTAGCTTTTCTTTGGCTTCGCATAATAAGCTTGTAAAAAAAAATCACAAAACAAATGACAAACAAGTAGAACATAACAAATAAGTTAATTGACAAGGTCAAATGATGACCGACTTTCTTTTAGTCACTAGTCAATTGCAAAAGACTTTCCTCAAAACACAGAGTTAACACGAGTAACCATCCCCGAGGTCAAGAAGGTGACCTTCCCTTGACAATGCATGATGATAAAAATAAGAAACCGAATTGATGATAAAAATAATTATACTTGTTTTGTTTATAGTAAACTCCGTGCATATGGTTAAACATTATCATTTTAAAAAACTTGGGCTTGTTACTCAAGCCAACATTATCGAAAGTTAGTTATGGCTATGGCTTTTGAGTTTAATAATCTCTAAGGCTTAGATAGATGGTAAATTGATTCATGAGCCACTAGGTATGTCTTTTATGATAAAAACTTGTTCAACGAGTACTTATACCATCTTAGATTAAAAAAAAGAAAGAAAAAAAGAAAAGAAAATCATGTCTGGTTGATTCTCACACTACTTAGGTAGTAGGGGTTAGAGTAGGCTTTATCAAATTTACATCTAGAAGAAAGGTTACTCTCAAATATGTGTTGAATGCACTTGAAATTCTTAAGAATTTGGTTTTTGGTTTTCTTTTAGATAAAGTTAGCTTTAAGAAAGTTGTTGAGGCTAATCCATATGTACTTTCTAAAAAGGACCTTTTCGTTGGAAAAATTATGCTTTGTTATGGGATGTTTAAACTTCAAATTAAAATGAATGAAAAGCCCACTTATGCTTATGCTATTTCTTGTGTGGATATTTGACATGGTAGGTTATGTCATATAAATTGCAAAAATGTGAAAAACTTGAGTAATTTTGGTTTAATTCCTAAATTTGAAAATGAATTTGAAAATTGTTAATTCTATAGTATGGCTAAAATTTCAAGAAAATCTTTTAAAAGTGTTGATTATAATTTTGAATTACTAGAACTTATACATATTGATATATGTGAGTTTGGTGATATTTTAACTTGTGTTGGTAATCATTGTTTGATAATTTTCATTGATGATTTTCAAATTATTTAAATATTTTTCTTATAAAGCTTAAAGATGAAGTTTTTGGGAAAGAAAAATCATTTTCCTATGAGAAATAGAGATTAGAATGAGTAAAAAAGATTAAAAGGTTTAAAAGTGATAAAGGTATGGAATATAGTTCTATTAGCTTTAATAGTTTTATTCAATCTAATGGTATTGTGCATGAAGTCATAGCTCCACATTCACCTTCTTCAAAAGATGTAGCTGAGAGAAAAAACATGACCTCATTTGATTTGATAAACATGATGCTTGTTAGTTCTTGTGCCCCAAAGAATTCATGGGAAGAAGCTATTTTATCCGTAAAATTTTGTTTTGAATAGAATTACATATAAATTTACTTGTTTTAACTCGTTATGAAATATGAAAAGGCTATAAACCAAAATTAGATGTTTTAAGAGTTTGGGATTGTTTAGCTTTTGTTATACTACTTGATCCTAAAAAATCGAAACTTGGCAAAAAAAAAAAAAAAAAAAAAAAGCTTCTACTTGTGTATTTTTAGCTTATGTTTCAAATAATAAATCTTATAGATTTTTTTACTTTGATAATAAAATTATTATTGAATCCAAGGATGCTATTTTTCATTAAAAAAAATTTCTTTTAAAATGGAAAATAATAGGAGTACAAATCGTCAACCAAGTATTAAATCTTTCCCATTAGCTTTTTTTTAAAAAAAAATTATTTAGCTCTGTTCTTTTTGGAGAGGTTTCAGGTGCTATATATATATATGTGAGTTTTTATTATTATTATTATTATTATTATTACTATCATTTCATTAGTTTTTTCAAATTTTTTTTACTTGCAATATTCTATTTTATTTTTAAGGTATCTATAAAACTATTATTTATTTATTTTTTCTCTCTAGGTTCAACGAAAGAAAAAAAAAGATTGCATGCGGAATATGCGTTTCATAATCATGCTCGCATAATTGATGATGGTCGAGTTCCGGAAGTTTTTTTTTTTAAAAAAAAAATTCATTTCATTTAACTCGAAACTGAAACTTGGTACAAAATAGACTCCAAGGCTGGAGGAGGGTTGCTAAGCCAGCATACGTACATGGATCAAAAGAGAACTAGCTACATTAATTCTTTAATTGCAACCCGATATTCTGCACTTGCATTTGCTGCCCTAGCTGCGTATAAACCACCAGAATTGTGGGCAAATTATGTATCACTAATCTGCATATATATAAGAAGTTGTATTCACCGCATCATCACTTTGCCCTTTTGATTTGAGGGTTAGGATCATTCGGTTTTGCTTAGAGCTTGAATTTTTGCAGTTCATTCTGTTATGAATCTAATGTCTGCCTGAAACACCCAAAAAGTAGTGCAGAAGTGTATTTAATTGTTTGAGGCAACACTAATGTTGTGGTAATATTTCATCGTACGAGACCTATTAATTAATTTTGTTTTCATGATCGACATCCAATAGATATCTTGAGCAAAACAATAATAATAAAAATAATACAAGATTTTGTTAATTACAGAGAAAAAAGTTTAAAATTCTTATCCAAATAAATTCAATTACTTTTTACTTCTTGAAGATGGAAAAAATTATATTGATACATCTTTTTTATCCACCATTTATAATTAATAAATCAATTAGCGCATGGTATTCACCTCAATCTAATACCTTATGACTCCATATCCACTAGCCATTTTCTCATACATATATGCTCATGAAAACTGAAGCCCAAGAGTCCCAATTCCCAAGCAAAAACAAGCACAAACCAATGCCCTTAATTAGTTTGCAACCAAAATCGAGATTTATAAATTTACAAAGCTTGGAGGGAGCAGAGATCGACCTCGTATGTCCTGCATATACCCGACCTGCCAAGATTTAATGGGATATTTGAGTGAGGAAGGTACGTACGTACGTAGATGCCTTTTCATGTTCATTTTATCACGAGGATGGTGTACTACTAGCTAGATGCCAAACTGACTTCAACAGATCGAGAGCTTTTAGCATACCTCCTCCATGACAGGATTAAATGATCCACTAGATTAAACTGACTTATAGCATCTCTCTATAAGAAGATTTCTACTTGTTGTGGTAACACCTAAACAACAGGATTAGTGGTCCATTAAATTAAAAAGTCTACTTAAAAAAAAAAAAAAAAAAAAAAAAGAGGGGTTCCCTTAAAAATACTGACATATACTGATACACATGCATAAGGGGCATGTTAATTAACCAAAGGGTAATCCCCTAGCTAGCTACGATTATGGTACACTCTAAGATAGCCTTCCTTACCGAAATACACAGTGAATCAGCTGGCCTTCATGTACTGAAAAACAACTATAAAAGCAAGTGCTTTTCATTCTTACACATCCATCCCTTTTTACATTAGTTCGGAAACGAGTTAGCAAAATAAGAGTGTTTATCGGATATTAACGGGAAGGGTTCAAAAAGATGGCGTCACCATCCTGCCGTCTTCTTTTGTATGCACTGGTTTTCAGCTTAATAGCCATTAACACGGTAGCCAATGATGATCATGAAAAGCCTCCAAGGCCACCTAATGATGACGAACAGCGACACTTACCAAATAATCATCAAAGACCTCCATTTCAACCATCAAGGTCTCCTCCTCAACTATTACGATCACCACCACCACCACCTCCAAGTAAGAAAAAGTCCCCACCACCACCTCCAACTAAGAAAAGGTCTCCGCCGCCACCACCATCACCACCACCTCCAAGTAAGAAAAAGTCCCCGCCACCACCTCCAACTAAGAAAAGGTTTCCGCCGCCACCACCATCACCACCACCTCCAAGTAAGAAAGAGTCCCCGCCACCCCCTCCAAAGAAGAAAAACTCTCCACCGCCACCGCCGCCACCTCCAAATAAGAAAAAGTCTCCACCACCACCACCGTCACAACCAACAAAATATCCTCCTCCACCACCACCACCAACAAAATATCCACCGCTATCCCCTCCTTATACTTCTCCTATACCCCCTCCAAACATTCAACCAGTTCCATCACTATCCCCATCCCCATCTCCTACTCCCATTTTATCTCAATCACCTCCTAATACTTCACCAGTACCCCCTCCAAATATTCAACTAGTTCCATCACTCTCTCCATCCCCATCTCCAGCTCCCATTTTATTTCCATCACCTCCTTATGCCTCTCAAGTACCCCCTCCAAAAATTTCACAAGTTCCAACTTTAGCTCCAGCTTCTATTTTATCTCAATCACGTCCTATTATTTCACCACTACCCCCTCCAAAAATTCAACCAGTTCCATCACTATCTTCAGCTCCAGCTCCAGCTCCCATTCTATTCCCATCACCTCCTAATACTTCACCACTGGTATCCCCTCCAAAAATTTCACAAGTTCCATCACTGTCTCCATCCCTATCTCCAGTTCCCATTTTATCTCCATCACCTCCTAATACTTCACCAATACCAGCTCCAAAAATTTCACCAGATTCATCAATATCTCCATCGCCTCCTTATACTTCTCCTGTTCCATCACCATCTCCACCCCCTCGCCTCCTCCATCTATCTTCAAATCTCCACCTCCTCCATCTCCTTCTCCCTCTCCTCCTGTCCCTAAATCTCCACCTCCTCCATGGTTTGTATTGCCTCCTTTCTTTCCCTTTAAATCTCCGCCTCCTCCATCTCCTTCACCCCCTCCTCCTGTCCCTAAATCTCCACCTCCTCCTTGGTTTGTATTGCCTCCTTTCTTTCCCTTTAAATCTCCACCTCCTCCATCTCCTTCGCCCCCTCCTCCTGCCTTCAAATCTCCACCTCCTCCATCTCCTTCTCCCCCTCCTCCTACCTTCAAATCTCCACCTCCTCCATCTCCTACTCCCCCTCCACCTATTCGGAAATCTCCACCTCCTCCATGGTTTACATTACCTCCCTTATTTTTCCTTAAATCCCCACCTCCTCCCTCTCATTCACCTCCTTCATCCAACAAACCACCCCCACCTCGTTCAAAAATATTTTACTAAATCGGTTAGTACTTCAAACTTTCTTTTTAATAAATAATTTATTTCAACATGATTGTGTAGTTTATTTTGTTACCAATAATAATAATCTCATTTATTTTTTTTATTCAGCTTATTATGGTTAACGAAGGCAGTGGATTTCTCCCAATGCACATATTGAAAATGTAATCACTTGAAGGGAAGTCGCCTGTGCTCCATCAATCATTCCAAAACAATATTATAGAACATTAGTTAACGTAATAATAGATGGACAATATGGAGGAAAATCCTTTTGTTACATTGTAATACTAAATGAATGCCTTTTATTATAATAATTAATGCTGTTTTTACAATTGCCATTATTAAAGTCTTTACTACACTGCAATTACCTTGGAGAAAAAACACAAAAAGAGAATTCAGATATTCCGAACAGCGTTTACCTAATCATCAAATAGAAGATTTTCCCGCTTGACAAGCTCAATTATCTGCACTTCCAAAACTGTATAAGATATGTTCACTTGATTATGATAATTTCAATATATATAATACTGTATAATACGGATGGATATATTAATTAGATAATTGGGAGCTCATTGGCAATTTAATTTATGCCTGCACCATGTCATTAGTATATATTATTCTAATCAGGTTCAAAAAAATTATAGCATTCCTCTAATCAATTTTTTTGTCAAGCCCGTAAGCAGTTGTAGTGCCATAGAATTTCCATTCCAAAGCCCATAATTAAAAATAAATAAATAAATTACCCTGACATGGTCTGTGCTTCTCCAACCGAACTGCATGCATCACCAATTTGGCATAGATGGCTTCTTTTTCTGTTTGCTTCCTGTTTTTGGACTCGACTTGTCCCATGCATTCTGTTTTTTGCCTACTTGTTTTATTGGCACTTGGCGTTGTATTTCTGACTCTTGCCTATATCACATCTTAATATATTCTCTCGTTCTTATCAAAAAAAAAAAAAAAAAGTTTAAGTAGCATAGGAACAAATACTAAGCCAATTTCTACCTTTTCATTTGAATGAGAGTATATGAGTAAGTACAAGAGAAGCAACTATGTTACGAACTTTCATTTTATTTGTTTATTATTATCATTATTTTGGATGAAATTCGATATCAGATTAAAAGAAGCCGAAGCTAACTAACCACTAAGAAATTTGCTAGCAAAGCAAAAGGTCACAGTTTAAGTCGCAGCCAACAAAATCACAGGTCCTATCCAAGCTCTGTTTTGCAAGATTGTCAGCAACTATTTTAGCAACTATACTACCCACCCTCTTAACACATGAACAAAGGAAACAGATTTCAAAACCGTGGCCAGTGTTGTAATGGATTTGAAAAAGCTTTCTAATTTCTATGCAATGCTGATCGAGACACATGTACAAGCTAAATGCAGAAGAACAAAATATATCCAACCGATTAATAATAAAATTCCACAAGCAATCCTTAGGAAAAAAATAACATAACTAATTAAAATAAATAAAGAACTAAATATTTTGGCCCTTAAAAATTCAGTTTGAAAATCTCGGCCGTGCACACTCCCATGTTGTGTGGACAATTGAATTGATACTGAACTATTCACTATAAGAAAATTATCAAAAACGATGAAAATCAACTACAGATTTAAGTTTATCACTAAATAACGATGATTAACAAACGAACTACGATTATTATCGAGATGTGGATTTCAACAATGAAATACCGAGGGATTCGCAACAAATTTTCTGCAATGGACTTAATCCATTGGTACCGAATATGACGGCAAAATATTCTCAAATGTTTTATAGATGGTTTAGTAAAAGAATTGCAAGAAAAATCAACGATAGAATTGCAAATTATGTCCCTATTTTTGGGTTTAGCATTCGCGATAGAAATTTCGTTGCTAATTGTATATTTTCCTTGCTAATTAGCGATGAAAATTCCATCACTAATATTGAAAACAAAGGGGATTTTTGAAATTTAAAATCAACAATGAAAGTAAGTGTCCGTCATTGATTAATGATGGAAATGCTCCATCTCTAATTCTAAATATCTAAATGGCATATCTCTTTTCTTTTTCTCCTATTTTCTTCTTCCTCTCCATCTCCTCCTCTCACCTCTCGCCTGCAATCCCCACCCAAAACCACTAAAACACCCCACTTCTCCACTCCCCAGCAATCCTCACCCACTCTAAGGTCTTTTCTCCCCCAAAAGCCATGAATTTTATCCTTCCACTCCGTCTCCTTTATCTCATCTCGCCATCTCCAAAGGTAAGAGAGCTCTCTCTTCTCTCTCTCTCTCTCTCTCCCTACCAATTTGTTATTTTTATTAATTGTTAAGTTAATCTTGATTAAATGGTTGATGTTAAATTTTATCTATATTTAATTATTAATTGGTTGATTAATTTTTTAACTATTAGGTTAATTTATTGTTATTTTAAATTTAATTAGGTTTGAATTAGGGTTAATTTAATTTGGTTAATTTGAGTTAGGGTTAAATTAATTAGGATACTTTTTAGTATTTGGTTGATTTTTAATTTATTTATATTGCAAATTATTAATTATTAATTATTTAAATTTTAATTAGGTTTGAATTAGGGTTAAATTAATTACGGTAATTTATTAATTGTATTTATATTACAAATTGTTAATTAATTATTATTTAAAATTTAATTAGGTTTGAATTAGAGTTGATTTAATTAGGTTAATTTGAATTAGGGTTAAATCAATTAGGTTAATTTTGATTAATTTGTAATTTGCTAATTGTATTTATATTCCAAAATTTTAATTAATTTTCATTTAAAATTTATTTAGGTTTGAATTAGGGTTAATTTAATTAGAGTAATTTGAATTAGGATGAAATTAATTAGGTTAATTTTGATTAATTTATTTATTTTTAATTTTATTTATATACCAATTTTTGAATTAATTATTATTTAAAATTTAATTAGGTTTAAATTATGGTTAATTTAATTAGGTTAATTTGAATCGGGGTTCAATTAATTTGGTTAATTTTGATTAATTTGTTGATTTTTAATTTTATTTATATTCCAATTTGTTACTTAATTTTTATTTAAAATTTAATTAGGTGTGAATTAGGGTTAATTTAATTAGATTAATTTGAATTAGGATGAAATTAATTAGGTTAATTTTGATTAATTTGTTGATTTTTAATTTTATTTATATTCCAATTTGTTAATTAATGATTATTTAAAATTTAAAATTTAATTAGGCCTAAATTATGGTTAATTTAATTAGGTTAATTTGAATTTGGGTTAAATTAATTTGGTTAATTTTGATTTATTTGTTGATTTTTAATTTTATTTATATTCTAATTTGTTCCTTGATTATTATTTAAAATTTAATTAAGAGTAAATTAGGGTTAATTTAATTATTTTATTGATGATTGTTAAAGTATATCGAGATACACGATAACGTATCAAACCCAAGGGTCGAAGACCCTCGAGAATTAAGGAGAAATAAGGTTGGTTCAATGCATTGTGATAGACTTAGGAGGACGAGTTTTAGATTTAATTTCAATAGATTATCCAAGGCAAGTGCCGATCTCGGTGTACGTAAATTGATTGTTGAATGATATTTGTATGATCATGATTAATTAAAAAAAGTTTACATGTGTTGTGTATTTAAGATGTTTAGTTTTTTTTGATCATTTGAAGACTTGATAATTGAAAAACATCCAATTTACATATGAGAGTCTGTCAAAATTTTGTTAGATATTTAGAAAAATTACTAATTAAATAATTATGTATTGCCTTGGACATAAATTTCCCCTCTTGGTGGCTTCTTTTGAACCAAGGAGCTCTTCCGGGTCCGATACTAGTTGGATTATTCTCGCTCGTTAATAACTAGTATGTAATATGTTTTACATATGATAATTAGTTTTATATTTTTATATATTATTTCAATCATTAGTTAATTAATTAATTATTTATTTATTTTATTCGATAGTTTAGTTTCATCAAGTAAGTGCTCCAATTGAATCGCTATGAGGAGCGACTGGATATTGTCGACTCCACATGGAAGTTTGTCTCTTTGAAGAGAAAATACTTCTACTTTAATGAGTTTAGAATAAACTATTAATTATTTTTATATTATATTTAAATTATTAATTCAACATGAAATGTACTAATATTTTTTTTATGTAAAAGTACTTTTTATGAGATGCGATCGTAGACAAGTTGAGTAAAGAAGCATGGGAGAGTCTCACCCGAAGGCGGTACTCTAACATGCTAAACAAACTTAAGAAAAAGACCAACAAACTCATGTATATTACGGAGCAGGTGTGGGATGCATGGTGGCGGGATTGAGCCACACTTGAGTTTTAGGCTTGATCTCGGCAAGCGTCCCGTAACCATATATCATATACGAGTGGTGTTGGTGTGAGTCCATTGAGGTATATGGAGGGTCCATCTTTATGATTGAACACGTTGAATGAATGGTAAATCCTATTATTCATTATGTTATAAATTAATATTTACATTTATTATATCTCATATTATTTTATCTATTTTTTAAGCATAATAGACTAAGTCGTAACCTAAATTTTTACCGGGGTTTCCTAAACACTCACAAGCAAAGAGATGGATTATTCATCGACAAACGGTCTCGAGATAATAATGGTAACTTTTTTATTTTTGTAAATATACAATTGTCAATATAATCTAAAAAATAAATTTATGATTTAATATTATAATTATTTCAATTACATAGGAGCGAGTGGAGTCATTGCAAGAAGCAACCACTAGCGACGAGTAGAAGGGTGATTCATCATCTCTAGACATCAACATGACCAAATTATATCTTGATACTATAGGAGGAGAGAAGAAGGAAAGAGTGTATGACATCAAAATACGGACATCCCTATATCACTCGCATTTCGACATCGACTTATCCTTCGTTACATCATGGTACCCCGGTGGCAATGTTTAGGAGGTTACTGCCTAGTACGAAGATAGGATTTAAGAGATGGAGGTTGACTATATTCGATGGTTTCAAGACGAGGATAAATTCGAGAATCAACGGAGTCGGATGGAAAGGATGTAGGTGGAGTTATGAAAGTTGAGGCGGACTCGTGTGCCTCATACCGACCCCTCACTACCCAACAATCTGCCTTTCCTCTTAATACCCAGTGGTCGAAAGATGATAAAAGAGATGATGATGATTAGGAATAGCTTTTTTTTAAGTATTTAATATTTTCATACACCTAAACATATTTATATTTTTATTTGATTTGAATTTATATTATTTTGATTTTATTAAATAATATTTCATGTTATAATAAGGTGTTATTTTTAGTTTGCTACTACCATTAATATTAAATGACTATTAATTTATTAAAAAAATCATTTCTTTAGTGAGGGATCAACTACTAAATTAATGACAAAACATAAATCATTTGTGATGGATATTGAAATGATCGCTAGATAGCAATTGTTTCAATAGCAATGCATTTGTGAGAAAAAATAGCGATAGATTTATAAGGACAAATAGAGACAATTTTGCAAGAGGTTCAACACTTAAAAGATGATTGATTATATCGATTTAGCAATAAAAATACTTCAAGCTAGTGATGGCCAATACTTTTCGTTGCTAACAAAAATAACGACAATCATTTTAGCTATAGAATAATTTACTCACAAATTTTACGCTAAAAATTAATAGTGACATAAAATATTTAAAAGTTTTTTATAGTGATTGTTGAATTCCTTCTTGGCATACATTAATTCTTTCAATCTTTTTTTTCTTCCATGGAGTTTTATGATATGGCGTTTTGTCATAGAATCATTCAAATTCATTCTTCAACCAAAGAAGCGCCACAACAACAAGAAAACAAATAATTGAATCTAAGAAGAAAAGAAAT